GGGGGGGGGCACAGGAGGAGACGTGGATGTTAGGGAATAGTGCTGTATGCTTGTGGGTAGAACGCCCGACGGGTAAGGGTGAGACGAGTCACGCGCTAGGAGGATAGATACAACGTAAGGCAGACCACAATACAGATGGGGTAGAGAAGAAAAAAGCCATCACAACACACTGGTCGGGCGCGCGCAACTACAGACTCGCGAACCAAGACCACAAGGGCAGAAAACGACACGTTTCAAGCAAGCCGTGCACCCACCGAAAAGCTTGAGCGTGCGAAAGTCTCCGGTGAAGGCTAAGTTGTTGGGCTTGATGTCTCGATGCAAAACCTTTGCCCCCTGTTTTTCAGTGCACCAAAAGGAGTGTGTGTCTATGGTCGAGGAGGGGGGCAGGGATGCCCCCCCCGGAGGGGGTGGCGCGCGCGCAGGCCGGGTTTGAGCCTGGGTTACCGGTGACCTCTTTCTGCCGTGAAAATAAACGACAGGCGTGAGCACGGTAGACGGAGAAAAAAGCAGACAGAGCAGCAACACCGCGGTACGCACAAATTCACCTTCACAACCGAAACTCCGTGCTGCGGAGAAATGCCTCCGCGAAAAGGGTGTGGTACGCTTGTTTTGAGGAGGACCCCAAGAATGGACATGTTTTTGTTTTTACCCTCCCTTACGCTTTCGGGCCAACCGACCCCAAGAAGAACCGGGCATATCGCCCCGCGGTCCCGGCAGGAATGCGCGACTACGGCATGCAACTTGAGTACACCCCCCCGCCTGGCTTCAGAATCTGTGCTGTCAACCCCCGCCCCCCTCGGCTAAAGCTTTGCCGGGTTGTAGATCTTCCTTGGTGTTAGCATATCATTCGAGACAAGAAGGATCCCCTAAAATGGGCGCATACTACGCCGTCTAGGTCTAAAAGCGAAACTGGCTTGTTCCTCAGGGAGAAGGGGGGGGGTACAGCATAATGCACGACGCGATTGGTACCTCCCGTGGGGGGTGGGGCCGACCGACTGAGTCTACCGCTGCGGAAGGCGGGGGTGTACAATTAATCTGCGACAGGGGACTGTGCGGACTTCGGAATATGTCACACCAAGGAAGCTACTGCTGTATGCCGAAAAAAGGCAACATGGACAACCACTATTACGCATCCCCCACTGCTGCCGTGCGAAGGAACTCACCGGCACCGCCTCGTCGTGCAGGTAGGCGAGCGCCGAAGCCACCCCCGCGGCTTGCCGGAGAGCCTCGTCCATCGGAAACCACGTCCGCACGCGGAAGCGCTGGAACCAGCCCGTTCCCTCCGGGCGGTCCTGAGTTCCGATCGCGGCGGAGAGGGTTCCTCCCGAGAGGAGCTCCGTGGCGACGAACCGCCCCCCCTGCTTAAACGTTTTGGGAGGTGCCCCCCCCCCATACCGGTGGTGATTGGTATAGACATTCGTTACGATCTTGCGGACCTCACTTTCAAAAGAAGGATCAAATACATCGTCAGCCACTACGATCGAAAACGCTTTGTTCCAACGTTCCTTCCGCCCGCAGTAGCAGTGTGAGTTGAATGATAAGCAAACAATGTCGTGCAGCCATCTTCAAGTTGGGCGTAACATCTGTCGAAAAAACTGCTTGACGTGCTGCGCGCGCCAATTCGCCCCTCTCTCGTCACACTGGGGCGTCACTGTGAGCACCAAAACAAATCCAAGTGGTAACTGTTGTCCAACTAACATAAGACACTGGTAAAAGACGTGTAAGCTAAACCTTCGGCACGTCGTTGTTGGGTCGAATGCAAGCAAACCATTAGCGGAGGCGGCGGCGACAGCAGCAGCAGCAGCAGCAGCAGCAGCAGCAGCAGCAGCAGCAGCCGTAGAAACAGAAACAGAAACAGAAACAGACCAAGCGGTTTTGGAACGACCGTTGAGCAATGTTTAATTGTGGAGGAGTTCTGTGTTTTCGGGGGCAGGAACAACGGTTTGAAAGCTCTGGCCGGTTCGATGCCGTCCCGCGAGTGACGACGGGTCGGCACCAGCACCTATCGGCATTGATGATCGCCGGCGGAGGGATATGCTACTCTTCTTCAGGGCAAACGGCGCCCGTGCGGCAGACAATGTGTACACTTGGGCAGCTACCACCGTATCCACGCGATGGTTGGTTGTCCGTGTGTCACCTCGGGCGACTGACCGGCCCCGGCGAGCCTGACGACGTTCGGGTGCCGCAGATGCTGTAGGATGCTCAGCTCTCTGTCCAGGTCCTTCGCGTCGGAGTCCGAGGTGCTGTTGGAGGCCTTGAGCGTCTTGATCGCTACTCTCTTGTTGCCTTCGTCGTTCCCGCCCAGTGAGCCCTGCCAGCAGCTAAAATGGTAGGCGGCAGGCGGCGTGTGAGCAAGTAAGGGTGATCGCCTTCAAAGAAATACAGAGAGCACGGCACAGCTGCAGAGGTCAAACGTGTGGTTGCTATGGACATAGTTGCTGTGGTGGTGCGGTGGAACGTACCCCGTTGGGATTCGAGTAACTGCTGTACGCACAAGTTTCAGTTTTGACACAGGATTCAGTTCGTGAACTCCAGGCGTAGATAGAGGACTGCGTCTCGCTTCCGGAGTCCTCTCCTCACGCTTGCGTAAACGCGGCAAACAAGAACACTTACTGCGCCACGGGAGAAAGCGTTCCCACTTAAGAACGCCTTGCATTGCTCGAGGCTCGCTCTGTGTTTCCTCTAACGGGAAAACAAACAAGCGTGTATTTAGCGTTTAGTATAGGGTCGGGTTCGTTCATATTCGTTGCTTCGAAAATGTTGAACCGCTGAGCTTCCAATTTGTTGTAATCCGCACACTGAAAGCACTACTGCTGTTGTTGAGAACTCAAGGAACATCGACAAACTGATTGAGTACCGTAAGAATCGGGGTCTTCGCACGGATCGGCGTCTCCGCACGGGTCGGGGTCATGGTGCGGAGACCCCGATCCCAGCAATGAGGTTGGGCGCTTCCAAGAGCGGTGTCCAGTCTTGTTGTGCGCTAAACAAGTAGGGGCGTGTTTGATGAAGAACCAACTTCGGCGCCGTGCGGTGCTCATGTACCTCTACGCAATAACGTTTTTTGTAATACGGTACCCGCCGGACTTGAAAATATACTTGTTTCTCAGCGTGTGATCATTTTTATTTGTTGTTTCATCGAAACCACCGCAACAAACTACCACCTAGGACTCGTGCGAAAAACCGGCAGAAAGTAGCGATCTCCACAAAAGTATTCTGGAAATCTTTACTGGCACATGCTCGTGGACCGCGTTGCAAGTATTGTTCCACGTTCGTATGTAGCACCAAACAAAAACCCCTCTCTAGAAGCCGCTGTCCTCTGCATCACAGAGTTCTGGCGCCAGTCTCCTACGAACATGTTGCCAACCAAACCTTTACTGTACTGGTACTCCCACGTAACGGCGGTATTTTACAGCTCGATCACTTCTTCATCCCCCGCCCCTTCCACGACTTCTACATCGCTGTCGTCATCCTCAATCTCGATGTCGCTGTCGTCGCCGCGAGGCAAAAGCCCCGCCTCGAGCTCCTTTGCTGCAGCCTCGATGTGATTGGCGGTTGATTCGGCTGGTACCTTCGGAAGTTGGAGCGGCGGCAGAGTCACGTTGGGGTGTTCCGCAAGCCATTCGACGCGCTGCTGCTCCAGGAGCTCGCGGTAGCCGTCCCCGAAGTTGTGCAGGCACCAGGCGTGGTCTTCGCTGCCGTCGAGCGCGAGCGTGAGGCCGCAGATCTTGAAGCAAGTCTTG